CCTGTGATATCCATAAAATTATTTAAAAAATTCAGGCCACGTTCAACATTGAGAAAACATTTACCGACGCAAGGGATTTCGAAATTGTCTTTCGACAATTCCGAAATCACTCCAAATAACTCGGGCTACTTAAAACTTAAGAAAATACAATATGAAAGTAGAACGATAATCAGCGAAAATTCGACCGTGTGACAAAATATCACACCTCAAATTTTCGCCATCAATCATTCCCACTGAATCAGCTAATGCCCCAAATTCAAAATTATAAAATCGAATTATGATCAACTAATCTCCAGTCGCGGAAAAATCGTGGAAGCATACGGTTCTCACTCCTTGGAGATTTAAAATTCAAGTCATATAAATCTTTTAAATCGGACTAGCGCCACGCCACCGATAAAACAGTATCTTTTTGAATTACGGTGGTAAGCTAAATAATCTTCCCCGTAACATCGATAGTTTTCGGCAAATTGTTCGTCGCCTGAGATCCGTAGAGTTGTGAGAGTCAGGAATTATCTCCTAAATCGCCTTTAAAAAATCATCAAGAGCACCCGCGGCTCCAAGCGCTCTTTTTGAAATAAATTTTAAAGTGTGACTTCTTCTTTCTTCCTAAATCTGAAACGCAGATTTTGGAAATTCCGTCGGTTTTATAAATAATAAAACCGGTCGTGTGTGTATTACTCAGTGAGGCTGAAAAGCATTTAAGCCCACTGTATTTATCAACAAATTCCAACGCCCAGAGAAAAATTACACCTCTGGTTAAATAAAAATTGTAATCAAACGAGAACAACTGTAAGTAATTTAAATACTATTTTATAAATTTCATTTTTGTCATTTGAACTTTGAATTGTATCGAATCAAATAAAAGATCCCTCTAAATTGTCAAGAATCACATTTTATAACAAGGAATATCAATCTCAAGTTGTACCAAAGATCGGCATAAATAAACATTCTGAGTAGACATTGAAAATCTGGTTTAAAAGAGTCGAAAGTAGCCCTCTTTCCCAGAAATCTTAATTAGTTCTTTCAGAAACGAAAGGAATGTAAGGACTATTTGCATTTGCAAGGAAAAACTTCGACAAACTTTTCGGGAACGAGTCCATGAGCAACACTCCGACTCAAATTATTTTTATTATCGTTAATTCGGCGGCGTATTTATTTTTGACAATAAATAACGTGGTTTCCCGACCACTAGTCCCGGACATAACAAATAAAAGATGGTGGCAGCGGTGGGATAATCGAAGGCCCACCTTGTAAACTGCTTAGTCAACTAATTCCTTCCAACCGCTTTAAGGTCGATTCAAGCTCGTTTTAAAATCGAGCGCGTATAAACATATTTTTATTTCATTAACTTAAATTCTAATCGACGCGTAACTCTTTCTCGACGCTTTCGTCGAGCCGACCGCGATCTGAAAAATAAAATTTTGTTAGTTCAGAAGTGATTGACAAAAAGATCTTTCATCTGTTGTACATTATTTGTGTCATTTTATACTCATCTGGGTTTAAGACTCGTCGAAACTCTCACCGGGGGAAAATCTTCTCAATTTTTCCTTCCCTCGCATTATCGACGTCTCTTTATCATGGCCAACCGCGGAAATATCACTTTGAATGGTCAAGTAACAGCTGCAGATTATGATCCTGAATTTGAAAATGGAGAACATCTTTTCAGAAATGTTCCTGCTTTTTATGGGAATAAACACGACAGAGTTACTTTTGATATTTTCGAGGAAGAGGTTCAATATGTGATCCATGCCGAGCCTAGAAGTAAGGAGGGTTTATATATCAGTGCCCTCTGTTCAAAAATTAGGTATCCTGCCAGATCAGAAATTGAAGGAAAAACATTTACCTCAATTTTAGATTTATTAAAAGATTTAGGGAGCAATTATAGACTTGAGAAAACTGAATTAGGAACTCGGGAAGAATTGAGGGATTGCCCATGGTATGCAAATGAAGCTGTGGAAGATTTCTTGCGCAGATTAAAATAACCTCATAGGGCCGCCCTTAGAGAGGCAATTCGAGTACATGGGGAAAATTCTAGGGCTCTTCTTGAAAAGCAATTAGATTCAATCGCCGTAGCTCGTTTTTATTCATTGTCTCCACCATATTATCAACACGCACTTTATCATGCGAAATGTGCAACGTTTGAAGATGTAACCAATATGGTCAAGAAATATAGAGCATACAAAAATCAGTAGACTCTTAAAACTGCTAACACTCGCTCTGAAGGATCCCCACCAGGACTTAAGGAGTCGCGTAGCGTACAGCCTTACGATTCACGAGAAAAGAGCCCAGGTTATAGATTTCACCATGTGGTTCCCATGAGCCAAGGGTATACGGACAATGGACGTTATCGTTCTATGTCACACCATCGGCGTTACCAACAATACACTATTCCTCATACCGACGAAATTGTGCCTGATCCACAAGAACCCCCTTTTTCACCAAGGAGTCGATCACGTCACCGAGCTGTCACGGGAATAGATCCCCCAGGGGAAACGAGTAATCAGGAACCCAAACCGCTAGTTCGCGTAGTTGAGGCGCCACCTGATCCTTTTAAAAAAATAGAGTCTCAAATGAATACATTAACAACGGTTCACGTCACTAAAGCCCTGATCGTTCTCGACGCACGAGTTTTAAAATAAAAACAAAGTCGTCAGAAGACAAAAGCTATAGCAATCGAAAACCAAACTTTCCCCACAGAGCACAATCACGCGGACAGATTCCAGAAATCAATCCTTTAAACTGGAGAAACGCTCCTCGCAACGACTCCGCGACGAACGAGATAAAAGTAAACAAGGAGTCCCACATGATAACAGCGGGTCATCTACCCGTCAAGAAATCCCAAAAATAAATGTTTGCACCTCTGGAAGTGGTCTACAAGTCGTCATTAAAGGCCCGCAATTGCACCCAGTGGGGGCGACTGCTCTCATCGACACCGGCTCACAAGTTAATCTCATTCATGCAAAATCCTTACGAAGGGATGCGGAAATTGATACCTCACAAAATATTCTTGTGAGCGGTTTAACTCAGGAATCAATTCGATCCATTGGCACAATAGCTTTGAAAATCGGGGAATCTAATGTGAAATTCCATGTAATTGGCCTTTAGCCTGGAGGATGTAAAGCATTGCTGGGACACGAATTTCTACAACAAGAATGAGCGCGCATCTCATATTGGGACGAAACAATCACGCTCGGAACCAACATCTATTATCCCATCCATTTTTGCCTCGATTCCTGCCGCAAGATTAAGGACACTCGCATCTGCAGTACAAGGGGGGGGGCTCGGATCAACTTGATTGCAAAGGAATTAATTGATATCAAGCAATGTGTTAATTGACACAGGGTCAGCAGTAAATTTTATAGAACGCCATGCTCTTAAATCTTACGTGTGGATTGACACCAGAAATAGCCAAGAATTTCGGGGATTAACCAACGATCATTTCCAAACAATCGGAACCACAATTCTGCACACTCTAGGAACCGCTTCTACCTTCCATGTCGTAGAAATTAAATTACCTGTAGATGGAGTCGGTATAATAGGGAATGAATTCTTGATCAAGGAAAAGGCGGAAATTACTTATCCAAATAGAAGCATCGTCCTTGCCAAACATCCTACAAAACCTATCCAGTGGCTCCGAGATCTTGAACCAAATATGAGTTTTATTATCCCGCCTAGAGTACGATTAGTAGTTCCTGTTGAAATTACCAACCCTTCAATAGAAGAAGGATATCTTCCGAAATTAAATCTGCGAAATGGAATTTTCGCGAAGGAAGCAGCTATTCGGGTTCAGGAAAATCTAGGTATGGTGATAGTTGTAAATCCATCGAATGAAACTGTGAAGGTAAAAATTCCTCCACAAGAGTTGGAACCGTTCAATTTCCATCTAAAAGATGCATCATCTGAAGATGAAGAACCTTGCGAGGCTGGACCAGCTAACATTGTGAAAAATGACCTGTACAACACGCCTGCAAAAAGAATCCAGAAACTCAAAGAAATGGTACCTGCCGACAAACTGAATGATCTCAAACGTGCTCAAGTGGAAAGGATCTTAGAATCTTACCACGATATCTTCTTTCTCCCTGGTGACCCCTTGGGTTGTGATAAGGATTGCACTTGTAAAATCCGCACCAGCGATGAGAAGCCAATCAATCGTAAACAATATCGACCACCTCTGGAGCATACCGAGGAAATTAAAACCCAGGTTCGAAAAATGCTGTCTCAAGGGATAATAGGACCATCAGAGTCACCATATAATTCACCATTATGGATAGTCCCTAAAAAGGCTGACTCAAAAGGAAATAAACGCTGGAGATTGGTCATCGATTTTAGAGATCTCAACAAGAAGACCATTGGTGATCCTTACCCTCTACCCGATATCTCAGAGATCCTTGATAAACTAGGAGGAGCAAAATATTTCAGTGTTTTTGACCTAGCTAATAGTTTCCATCAAATAACCATGGACCCACAAGATCAAGAAAAGACTGTGTTTGTTGAGGTAACAGTTGAGTAGGGTGGATAGGAAGAAGGTCAGGGAAATCTGGTGACTGTGTAAAAAATGTATTGACTCGCGAAATTATCACACACAACGATTATCAATTTATTAAAACGCGTGGTCAATTTAATGCGGTTTTACAATAATTTACACGTTGAGTTTTGTTGATGTACAAATTAAAGTTGAATTAATGGTTGAATATGTTGAGAAATAAGTTGAGTTAGTTGAATTGATAGTTGAATTAATAGTTGATTTTACTAGGTGAGTTTCGTTGATTTTACGGTGAGAATTTTGATTAGATGTTAGCACGTTAACAGCTTGATACGAACAGAATGTTGAGGGGGGGTGATGGTGATTTTGATGGTTTGGAGATGACCGTTGACCGACGGGTCACGATCATTTCCGGGTTTTCCCGATCGATCTGGTGAAAAGCCACCCATATTTTTCTCCTTTTTAAACATCCCGGGGGCAATTCACCATCGGATGGTGGTGAATTTTTCCTGTTGATTTACTGATGATTTTCTTCTGCGTTGATTTCTGGTGGGTGATTTCCTGGTGGGTCTGTGGTTAACAGACAGAGCTTGGTGATCGGGCGGTCCCAGGTGCTGATTCTCGTTTCGTACCTCTCTGGATTGGGGGTACCGTCTGCATGCCTGGAGACCTCAGAGTAGGCAGTCTTTACTGTTGCTACTCTGGTGAGCCCATCGGCTCCTGGGTGAACGGCTGTAACCCGTGCTAGTGGCCACCTTGCTGGTGGGAAGTTCTCGTTGACTACTAATACCATGTCTCCAACTTTGATGTTTTCTTGTCGTTGATTCCACTTGTAGGTTGCTAGGTATCGTTGGAGACACTCCTTGGACCATCTTGACCAGAATTGTTGAATTTTCTGGGTGATTAGATTCCATCTATGCATTTTTGATGGGTTGTCATCCAGGTACGATGGCTCTGGAATGAGTTGGAGTGCCTCACTGATCAGGAAGTGTCCTGGGGTGAGCGCTTGAAGGTCGTCTGGATCGTCAGACATTGGTGAGAATGGCCTGGAGTTTAGGCAGGCCTCGATTTGGATCAAGATGGTGTTGAGTTCTTCGTAGGTGAGTGTAGTTGTTCCCAGCGTTCTTCTCAGGTGATGTTTCGTAGATTTCACAGCTGCTTCCCATTTGCCACCGAAATGGGGTGCTCGTGGTGGTATGAAGCTCCAGCGAGTTCCATTTGTGGCAAGCGCAGCTTGGAGTTGTTGATTCTCTGGTGATTCTCGATTGTAGAGTTGATGCAGGACTTTAGAGGCGCCTTCAAAGTTGCTACCGTTGTCACTGTACATTACTTGTGGGATTCCTCGTCTCCCGGTGAATCTCTTGAACGCTGCGATGAATGCGTCTGTTGTTTGACGTGTTACTAGTTCCAGGTGCACTGCTGATGTACTTAAGCAGACGAAGACTGCGATGTGCACCGAGGCTGGTTGGGCATTTGTTGGTCTCCACTTGAGTATGGGCATCGGACCGGCATAATCCACCCCTGTGTGGAGAAATGCTTTCGATGGTGATACTCTGGCTGCGGGAAGTTGCCCCATCAGCTGTTGAGCTCGTTGAGCACGATATCTGGTACAGATGACGCAGTGAAGGATGTGCGATCGAACTGTACCTCTGCCGCCGATTATCCAGTATTGTTGGCGGGTGACTGCCAGTGTCAGTTGAGTACCTCCGTGGAGGGTTCGTCGGTGAGCTTCGTTGATGACCAGTGTGTTGAGATGTGAATGACGAGGCAGGATGATTGGATGAATCTCGTCATGGTCCAGTTGAGCGTTTTTGAGCCGTCCTTCAATTCTCATGATTCCTAGCTCGTCTAGGATTGGAGTCAGCTTTGATAATGGATTTCCTTTTGGTAGTTGATGTTCTCTCTTCAGGATTTTGATTGCTGGAGCAAAGAATTGATTTTGAATTAGTTTTACCCAGAACAGTCGAGCCTCGTTGAGTTCTTCTGGTGTGATGACTGGTGTCTGGGGTGTGGGTTGCCTTCTGAACCTGGTGATTGCTCTGTTGACGGTGGCTATCACTTGCAGCACCTTTGAAAGTGTTGAATATCTCTCCAGCACCTCTGCTAGAGCGTTGACGTTGACCTCAGCTGCGACTGGATGAGCTGGTGTTTGTTTTTCTTCAAGTGAGACTTCTGAGGGAATGTTGATTGTAGATTGTGGCCACTGATCTGGTTCTTGACTTAACCAGTCAGGTCCTGACCACCAGAGTGGATGGTTGATCAGTTGATTTGTTGAGATTCCCCTGGAGGCGCAATCCGCTGGATTATCCTTTCCGCTGACGTGTCTCCAGGTTGCTTCTGGCAATGTCTCTTGGATTTCTGCTCCTCTGTTGTGGACAAATTCCTTCCAGCATGACGGATGGCTGGTTATCCACGCCAGAGCAACAGATGAGTCAGACCAGAGGTGAGTTTCCACATTGTCGAGTTCGAGCATCTTGAGAGTTGAGTTTGCAAGACGGGTGAGCAGTAGTGCTGCGGTGAGTTCGAGGCGAGGAATCGTTACTTCCTTGATCGGTGCCACCCTCGTTTTTGCAGAAACGATAATTGTTGAGGCAGGCTCGTTGATTTTCTTCGATCTGATGTAGATTACGGCACTCATTGCTGATTTGGATGCATCGGCGAACCCGTGGATTTGAACGTTAACCGTGTCTTTTGATAGTCTAAGCCATCTCGGGATTGAGATCTGATCTAGCTCGTTGATTTCCGCTCCAAATCTCCTCCATTGTCGTACGTAGTCCGTCGGCAAGGGTTCATCCCATTTGAGTTTCAATCTCCATAGATCTTGGATGAATATTTTGCCGAGAATGACTACTGGAGCGATGAATCCCAGTGGATCAAAGATCTGGGCGATCTATGATAGCACTGATCTCTTGGTGAACGTTGTTGAAGTGAAGGTCTTGGCCTTATAGTTGAAGGTGTCTGTTGATTGCTGCCAGCAAAGGCCTAGGACCTTGGTGATTGCTTCTTCGAAGTGCACTGTTGAGTTCTGTGGTGAGAGGCCTAATTGTTGAAGGGCTTCTGGTGAGATGCTGCTCCATTTTTGGAGTGGGAAGTCACCGGCTTCGCAAAGTCCTTGTAGTTGAGTAGCGATTTCTTTTAGTTGATTGATGGAGTCGGCACCTCCATAAAAATCGTCGACGTAGCGACCCTTTTTAACTGTCTCTACTGCTGCTGGGAAGCGGTGACCTTCATCCTCTCCCAGTTGTTGAAGGACTCTTAAAGATATCCATGGTGAACAGTTGAGCCCATAGGTGACTGTGGTGAGTTGAAATGTGATTTGTTGATTCTCCTCGTTGAGCCACAAAATTCGTTGAAGATCCCAATCGTCATGATGAACTCGAATTTGGCGGAACATCTTCACGATATCCGTCCCAAAAACGAACTGGTGTTTCCTCACCCATGTGAGGACGTTGACTGCATCCACTTGTAGTTTTTCTCCGGGATAGAGAATGTCATTTAACGATATTCCTGTTGAGCTTGCACTGGAGCCGTTGAATACGACTCTCAGTTTTGTGGTGACTGCATCGACTCTCAGAACCCCATGGTGCGGTAGATAATAGGCTGGGGATGGTTCTGGAGTCTCTGGTGCTTGTTGAAGGTGATTCAACTGTTGATACTCGTTGATGAAGGCGTTGTAGAGGGCTGAGTACGCCTCATCCTTTTGTAGACGTCTCATTACCGAGTGTAATTGACGTGTTGCCTTTGAGCCTCGAGTCGCCGAGGGCTGTTGCTGAGGTTTTCAGGGGAGCCTCACAACATAGCGCCCCGTCTCGTCTCTTGAGTCCGTTGATTTGAAGTGCATCTCGCACTGGTGATCCTCTGGTGATAGCTCATGGCACTCCGTTGAATTGTTGATTTCTTCCTGGACCCAGAATTTTTGGAGAAGCTCGAGTAGCTGTTCGTTCGCGGAATTCCGTACTGCAGTTAAGGAGATTCTCGGTGAACAGCTGTGGCAATTGATTGGACCTGATATTATCCAACCAAATGCTGTTTGTTGGCCAACTAGTTGAGTTGATGTTGACTTGATGACTTTTTCTTTGATGATCCGCCCATAGTTGTCAGATCCGATGATGATATCGATTGGTCCAGGCTTTAGATAATCTGGATCGGCCAGTTGAAGATCCTGTAGTGAGCCGATTCGCGTCGTTGAGCATGAGAATGATGGCAGTCGTGTGGTGAGTTTTTTCAATATGTGTGCGGTGATTTCAACTCGTTGATTTCCGATATTTGATTGAAGCACGACTGACACGACTCCTCTCGTTGTCCCTGAAGGTGTTTCACCGATTCCGATTAGTTCGAGCGTTGAATGTGCTCGTTTCAGGTGGAGTTGATGGGCTAGATTGTCGGTGATGAACGATATTTCCGAGCCTTGATCGATTAACACCCTGGCATCGATCGAGTATCCTCGTGATGATGCTGCTTTTACTATCACCGTCGCTAGCAGCACAGATGGTTGTGTTGAATGCCGTTGATTGTTGATGATGGATGATGATGGATGATTCTCGGTGATTTTCTCTTGTGCACTGATCCGCTCGTTGTTGACGTTAGCTGATGCCATTGATTTCTGCTGTTGAGTTGATTCTTCAACTTGACTCAGGGGGGCGTAAATCCCCTCAGTGGTTGTTGAATCGGTTGATTTCGTTGATTGATGTGCTGTTGGTTTTATGGATCAGTGAGACAGAGGGCGAGCAGTGAAAATATAATTGAAATTCACTCACTCGATTCCTCTGCCGTTGATGTGGATGCTGGAGTTGTTGAGTGCAGTTTCTTCAGCTTCTCGACGTCTTCCATGAGGTCCACGTGTCCTCCATGGATCAAGGTGTGGTGTCTTTTTTCCTGCCCAGCAGCCTTGCATTTGTAGCAAGTTTTCCGGCAGGTACACTTGCTTTGAAGATGAGGTCCCAAGCAGTTGAAGCACAACCGCTTGTGGGCGACGACGTCGAATCTTTTGATTGGGGACAATGCGATAAATTTCTCGCAGCTAGCGATGTAATGTCCTCCCTGGCAGAAGGCGCAGCAATTTCTCGGGAGGGGCCTCGTTGAGGTCTCTGTTGCCCTCTCCGTCGTTGAGGCCACGTGTGCGATTCTTCTCCTATTCGATACAGGCGTTGATCTCTGCGTTCAGCTGTTGGTCGTTGAGTGGAGCTTGTCTCCAGAGTTGATTCCCCCGGCACACGACTCGATGAAGTTGGTGAACTCCTCCAGCGTTGGGAAGTCCTTACTTTCTCCGAGTTTCAACTCCCACATCTTCAGAGTCTCGGAGTCGAGCGATTGTCTAAGTAGATGGACAATCATCAGCTCGAGAAGCTTTGATGTGTTGAGCTTTGTCATTTGCGGCAGCTGGTCGAGGGTTTCGGTTGCCGCTGCTGCGTTGGCGGTGAGGTTCTCTGCCGTGGCCTTGTTGATCTTGGGGAGCTTCAGCACTCTATTAAATAGCGCTTGAGCGATGAGTCGTGGATCCTCGTATTTCTTGACGAGTTTCGTCCACGGCCTTTCATAATTTTCTTCGGTGATACTGAAGGTTGATATGAGTGCTGCTGCTGATCCTTTCAGCAGGCCCTTGAGGCGAGCCAGCTTTTGCACTCCTGGCATGTTGGGGCCACTCCCGACCATTGAGAGATACAGATCACTCCAGTTTTTCCACTCGGAGTATCTGCCATCGAATGTGTTGAGTTCGATCCTCTTAAGTTGTTTGCCCGATTGTTGAGCTGGTTGAGCAGGTGGTGTTGATTTTTCTGCGAGTTCCCTTTTTTTGGTGAGGCCCTTAAGTCGATAAATGAGCGCTATGCTCGCTGTTTTTACCTCCTCCGCTCGTTCGTGAAGGCTGTGGTTGAAGAAATCGTGATCTGTTGGCAAGAATTCGATTACCCTGTCTTCTAATTTCGGCAACTCGCTCCAGTGGGTGTTGATTATGATTTCCTGGCCCTCGAGTTCATCAATGGTTAATGAACCGATGTTGCTCGCTAATTTGGCCAGGTTTGCGTTGATTTCCTTGATGCTGTCCACCTTGCGTAAGAGAAGTTGTGTTTGATACTCCTCCTTTTTACTCAGAGGGGCTGACATGTCTGCCCAACTCTCTCGAGTTTTGATGTTTGGATATACTGGGTAATCTGTTGGTGTAGCTCCAGTATTTGTTGTTGGTTGATGCTCCTTGTTGATGTCCTCTGGGTGAGTGATGAGCAATTCAGGGATGATTCCCTGAGTCTCAGACTCCTCAAACGTCTCCTCTATCTCACCCTGGTCTTATGACATGTTGATATTCTTGGTTACCGACCGGAGGTGATTGACGGGTAGATAAGTTGAAGTTCGATTGAGCGGTGGATAATTTGTCACCGATGACAACGATAGAAAGAGACAGAGGTATCTGCCCTTGGGTGAGAATTAACCGTGCGGCTAACTGAGCGCGGTTGTTTTGAGGTGTCGGATTACTTGCCTCGAAGGTCCGTTCGTCACAAACACCTATTGTATGAATTTTATTGCTTTTGAAATTCGTTGAGTAGCTCGTGTGAACCCCGAAATTGTGCAGCACGAGGCGTCCTTTTGATTTTCACTTTAGCGTCACTCGATTTTTTCACAAATTGTTCGTTGATTTTCACGTTTTCACTGACTCTAATTCCTGAATCCGGCTCGAAGGACCATATGTTTGTTGAGGTAACAGTTGAGTAGGGTGGCTTGGAAGAAGGTCAGGGAAATCTGGTGACTGTGTAAAAAATGTATTAACTCGCGAAATTATCACACACAACGATTATCAATTTATTAAAAACGCGTGGTCAATTTAATGCGGTTCTACAATAATTTACACGTTGAGTTTAGTTGATGTACAAATTAAAGTTGAATTAATGGTTGAATATGTTGAGAAATAAGTTGAGTTAGTTGAATTGATAGTTGATTTAATAGTTGATTTTACTAGGTGAGTTTCGTTGATTTTACGGTGAGAATTTTGATTAGATGTTAGCACGTTCATTGCTTGATACGAACAGAATGTTGAGGGGGGGTGATGGTGATTTTGATGGTTTGGAGATGACCGTTGACCGACGGGTCACGATCATTTCCGGATTTTCCCGATCGATCTGGTGAAAAGCCACCCATATTTTTCTCCAGTTTAAACAGACTGCTTTCACCTCTCCGGATGGACATTTTTAATATCTGAAGATGCCGTTTGGATTGAAAAATACTCCAGCAGTCTTCCAGAGGATGATGAATCACATTCTTTACGGATTGACTGGTACAGAATTATACGTGTATCTAGATGACATCGTAGTCTACGCTCAAGACCTGGACCAACATTATGAGAGGATTAACCGACTATTTAAACGACTCAAGTCACAGGGAGTAACCCTACAACCGGATAAATGCAGGTTTTTATGCAAAGAAGTAGGATACCTGGGCCATCTCATCACCGAGAACGGGGTTAAACCTGACCCTGTTAAAATCCAATCATTAAGAAATATGCCACGCACTAGGAATATGAAGGGTGTGAGAAGCTTTTTGGGTTTTGCAAATTATTATCGAAGATTTATCGATCATTACGCCGATAAAGCAAAATGCCTCACAGATCTCCTGAAGAAAACGAAAGAAGAATTTCGATGGGGGGAGCAAGAGGATTTTGCTTTCCGGGAATTAAGAACAGCCATCTGCGAAGATGCCACACTGGCCTATCCGGATAGTTCTAAGCCCTTTATCATCGCTACTGATGCATCGGACAAAGGACTAGGAGCAGTCTTAAGCCAGATGGCCGACAACAGTGAAGAACATCCCATCGCTTATGCATCCAAAACCCTATTAGACGCTGAAACACGCTATTCGGAACCTGAAAGAGACTGCTTAGCTGTTTTCTGGGAAATTCATCCTGTATACTAACAGCTCAGCAATGGCTTGGCTGAGAGACACAATAACTCCAACCTCTCGCCGGGTAAAGTGGAGATCACTCCTTCACGAATACGTATTCACCGTGGTTCATCGGAAATTAAAACGTGAGCAGTACGCAGACGCTTTCTCCGAAAATCCAGTGAAACCATCGGACCCTGAGGACGAGTTTTCTCCATCAGAACCTGACTCTGAGCCCGAATCATTTAACGTTCTCCCGATTACGAAATCGCCCTCTAAACCCATCCTGAAACCAGAATCGGAACTTCCCCGGAAGGTTAACCCAAGATTGAGGGCTGTGTATCTGGATGAATCAACAATGGTGTCAAGAATACGCCTTAGAAGAGGATCAGAAGGTTCTGGAAAAGAACGAATAAACTATAGAGAGGCTAGAACATACAGGCCAAGATTGGATAGCGCACCAACCGCTACAACAAAAAAGGACCCTGCAGAACCATCATCAGTCGAGGCAGAGCCAGAGAGAAAAAGAAACGGGGGGCCCACCATCACAACTGGCCACTACAAAGCTAGAAATAACGGATCAAAAACATACCGACCGGACTCTTAAGGAAAGGGAAACAAAGGCCGACGCGATAATAGACATCATAGAAGCAGATGATCCTCAAAATAACTCGGAAATAGGAGTTGAGGAGGAAATAAGCCCCGGAACTGATAACGTTTTCGCCACTGGACCGCCTGGACTGCAGGATGAAACTCCAGATTTTATTACTGTTATGGACGCCGACTCTTCCGATGCACGCATCGAGTCAGAGGATCAAAATGAGGAAACTGAACATACTCCTCCACGCA